GAATTTTAGAATTTTAGAATTTTAGAATTTTAGAATTTTAGAATTTTAGAATTTTAGAATTTTAGAATTTTAGAATTTTAGAATTTTAGAATTTTAGAATTTTAGAATTTTAGAATTTTAGAATTTTAGAATTTTAGAATTTTAGAATTTTAGAATTTTAGAATTTTAGAATTTTAGAATTTTAGAATTTTAGAATTTTAGAATTTAGAATTTTAGAATTTTAGAATTTTAGAATTTTAGAATTTTAGAATTCTAGAATTTTAGAATTTTAGAATTTTAGAATTAAAAAAAAAGGTCAAAAACGCTTTTAAACAATTTTTTCAAACAAAACAGTTTTTCCGGAAAAAGAAGGAATTGCAATAATCCTTCTTTTCGACCTGATTCTTATTCTTATCCCTTTTTCCTCCTTTCTCTCTCTCTCTCTCTCTCTCTCTCAAGTGGTATGGTCAATTTGTACAACTTTTTTGTAGTTTTGTAAATTTTATAAGAGGCGTCGGTTCAAGTGGGAGCAAAAAGCAGAGATAAGGGAGAATTAGCAGCCGACTTCTACCGCGCCAACTTTAAAGGCGCACATCTCAAAAACTACGGTAGCTGTCAAAATAAAAAATGTAGTTAATCACACAACTGTAGAGCTTAACATTTCACATATTTTGTTATCTAAAACATTTTTGATAGCTGCTCTAGTTTTAGAGATACCCGCCTTTGAAATTGAGATACCAATGCCAGGGGGAGGGGGTCGCTACCTTGAAGCGCGCGCCAACTTTAAAAGCGCATATCTCAATAATCAAGTTAGCTATCAAAAAGTTGCATTTTACAAAAATGTAGAGCATAAAACGTTACATAGTTTGTTAAACAGTTTTGAAAGCTGTTCAAGTTTTAGAGATACGCGCCTTTAAAGTTAACGCATCCATTACGGCGGCCCGTTACCTTAAAGCGCGCGCCAGCTTTAAAGGCACATTGTATCTCAAAAAGTTAAATAGCTATCGAAATTTTGTTAACTATCAAAATATGTGAAAAATTATGTTTTATATTTTTGTAAATTTAATTGTCTGATACCTCGTTTATTTTTTGAGATACGCCTTTGAAGTTGATGAACAGAATCAGGCCGCCGGGGGCGCTAACTAGAAGCGTGAGCAATCTTCACAGGCGCATATCTCTAAAACTACAAAACCTACTGAAAATTGGGAAGAAAAACAACAATATATGTAAAATTTGATGCTCTACATTTCTATAGTTAACAACTTTTTGATAGTTCTTTCAGTTTTTGAAATATGCGCCTTTAAAGATTGCAAGTGCTTAAACGCGACAGTGTAGCTCTAATTTTAAGTGGTGAGTCTGGTCTAGGAAAACTGAAGTTTGCAACAAAAAAAATAGTGGATAAGTTACAAAATCTCAAGACTTGTTTATTCAAACTTTTTGTTTGCTATTACATTTTGCACGTTTCAATGTTGAAATAAGTAGTTGCGGACATCCGGATAGACAGACCTACGCGGTCGGCTGTCAACTTTAAGCACATTTATCTTGGTTCATATGAGACATATCAAAAAATGGTCTACTAACAAAATGTTACTGATATTATGATACACATTTTGTCAGTTGACCATTTTTCGATATCTTTCACAGTAAACGAAATATATGGGCTCAAAGTTGAGGGGCGGGGTATTATATAAGAGAGTTTACGGTAAATGTAATGAAAATTCGATTCTATGATCCTAAGATTCGAAAGTTCGAAAAAATCCGGACAAACAGACAGACAGACCGATTAAGCTAGTGTTGCGCAAAGCTAGATTGTTGCGTGTATATAAGCATTTCTCTGCCTCTCTCTCTCTCTCTCTCTCTCACTAACCCATTTTCGTTCGGCAATGTGTTAATTGGTTAGAACGACGAGAAAGACATACTGCCATTGTGGAAGCATCGGTCGAGAATTGATGAGAAAATGGAGAGAGAAAAGGATTCATGTACTATGGGAAAACATACACAGAAGCGACAAATCACAATTGGGTTTTCGAGAAACAGGAAGAGAATATAGAAGAAGGAGAAGCATGGATCGTTAGACTAACTGAGAAAAAGAAGAAATGAAGATTGGATTTAGAAAAAGTAAGAGGATTAGTTGGAGAAGACCATCTTGGCAGATGGTCTCCAACTAAGCTAGGCGGTTAGTATAATAGTAAGCTATATGTGATGAGGATATAGATAACTTGAAGAAGAAGCTTAATTAGAACTCATGGGTAAAGTCTTGAAGGTACCGTACCACTGAGTTAAAAACTATGGAGGTTGATCTTTGGCATTTGAGTACGGTAGACAAGCGAGAATGTGGGATTTTTGATTTCCTTTGAGTTTCCTACCCAAATTCAGGATTCCAGATTCCGGAGATGTAGATGTCAGGAAATGGAGTTTGAACCACAGATAGCCGATATGTTGGGGATCAGTAGACTTAAATGACTTGTTGAATTTCTCTGAAATTTCGAGTGTATACGAAACAAAAATAGAGCTTTCATTTTGTAGTTGACAATTTTCTTGTGCGATTTCATCCAAATGAGATAAGCCGCTTGAACCCAACCTATTGCTTCTCAAAAAAAGCACTGATCTCACTAGTTCAACTTTGACCACTTTTTTCTCGGTTCCTGTCAAAGATAGCAAAAAGTGATCAACTGATAAAATTTTGCCTTGAAATCAGAAATATTTATCAGTTGAACATTTTTTGATAGCTCAAACAGGAAACGAGATAATTAGGATCAAAAGGGACTTCTCTTTTTTCAAAAAGAAAATTCAAGTATTATTTAAAAGCGTGGTAACAAAAGAGGGGAAAATCTACTTTTTGAATTAATAGGAACCAAAAAACTACGTGAAATGGTTCAGAAGCCCAGGAAAAGTACCATAAAAGAAGAGGGAAGTGGAGGAAAGAATCAGTTCTTCCCTTCTCGGAGCTCCAGGGAGGGGAGGGAGCTCAGGCTGGAGCCAGTGAGTCTTGGGTCCTGGGTCCGGGTCCTGGGTTTATGACCTAGATTTTATTTTTTAGGCCATGACCTAAGAATCGAAATCTATGTCAATAGCTGAAAATTGAAACCTATGTCAATAACTGAAAGTTGAAATCTAGGTCATGACCTGAAAATTGAAATTTACATGACCTAGAAATTGAAATCTAGGTCACGAGCTAAAAATTGAAATATAGGTCATAACCTAAAAATCGAAATCTAGGTCATGAACTACTAATTGAAATCTAGGTCATGACCTAAAAACTGAAATCTAGGTCAGGCTTCAGCTGGAGCTCCCTCCCCTCCCCTCCCCGGAGCCCCGAGAAGGGAAGAACTGATTCTTTCCTCCACTTCCCTCTTCTTTTAATGGTACTTTTCCTGGGCTTCTAAACCATTTCACGTAGTTTTTTTTTGGTTTTCTATACCACGCTTTTAAATAGTAATCGAATTTTCTTTTTGAAAAAAAGACGTCATTTTTGACCCGAATTATCTCGTTACCTGTTTGGGATATCAAAAAATGTTCAACAAATGAAATATTTCTGATATCAAGACAAACATTTTATCAGTTGATCACTTTTTTCTATCTTTTACAGGCACCGAGAAAAAGTGGTCAAAGTTGAACTAGTGAGATCAGTGCTTTTTTTGAGAAGCAATAGGTTGGGTTCAAGCGGCTTATCTCATCTGGATGAAATCGCACAAGAAAGTTGTCAACTAGAAAATTGAAGCTCTATTTTTGTTTAGTCGACTCTCAAAATTTCAGAAAAATTGAACAAGTAATTTAAGTCTACTGATCCCCCAACATATTGGCAATTTGTGACTCAAAATCCGTTTTCCTCAGTTTTCAAAATTTTGAAATTAGACATGTTTTATATCATTTAGAAGCTCTTTTCTAGTTATACACTTTCTATTTGAATTTTTCCAAAAAAAGATATGCACCTTTAAAATCGAGACTACAGAAAATTTGAAATTCAAAATTTAATAAATTAATATGAACACAAAAAGTTGAAATTCGAAAAATTCGAAAAATGTCAAAAAACGAACTTACTGAAAGAAAAGATAAGAACTGGAAATGTGTCTAAAAGGAATCTAGAAACGTTAAAGTCTGAAATTTAAAGAAAGATCCGATTCTGATCTACCAATGGTAGATCAAATGAAAAGATAATAAATCCGATTTCGTTCCGCTTTGAAATTCGATTTATCTTCTTCAAAATGCAATTATTACAGTAAAATATTGGAAAAAATTGTTTCAAAAATATTCTGAAAATTCTAGAAAGAATGAGAAAAAAAACAAACTACAGTAACCTCACTAAATTCTTCATACAATCTAAAAAAAGTATGGTGAGAAGGTCAAAAAATGCCAAGAAAACCTACTAAAAAATTTTACGAACGGAGGGAAAAGGTGAGAAAATCGGTGGGAGAAATAAAAGATAAAAGAGGGATAATAAAAAAAGGTACTTGAAGGAAACTGGGAAAAGTGAGAAATATAATAAAATGTAGTAGTATCGCAGTGCCAGATGTTCAGAAGTAGTTACTAACATCGAAAAAAAGAAAAAACCACAAAGGGGATTGAACCCCGGACCTCGTGCACAATACACAGGTGATTCGTGATTTCTGGCTTGTTTTTTCAGTTTTCTGCCTGTTTAGGTGTATTTTCTTTAGCTTCTAACCATGTGGGGTCCTTGCGGGTTCCTATAATTTACGATACCCAAAGTTTTATTACCTTTATCATCGGTTTAATCAGGTCACGCATGGTCGTTTATGGCCTTGCTTTTTTTGTAGCTTTCGTTTTTATCAAACTAATTGTAAGTATAAAAAAACTAGAAACCAGGTGTTTACAGTTGGGATTACTGTAGAGAACTGTTAGTTTTAAAATGATCTCTATATCTATTTCCCTAGGGGTAGAAAAGAGAGTTTATTTAGTTTCTCTTGGTATTTGTGTCTAATCCTAAAACATGAGTTGAAAAGAAATAATAAAAATTTTGGTTTCTTTTTTGAAATTTTTGAAATTTTAAAAATTTTTTGAAAATGTTGGATTTTTCAAATTGCCTCCTCTTCCTCGCCCTCTCCTCGCCAAAGTGCGCCCCCCTCTACGCTTTTCACACAATTGTGTTCAACTTGCGCGCGTGGCCTACTGGCTACACAGGTGATTCGTGATTTACCAATTACAGATGAAGAGCTATAAACGACCCAATTACTCACCTGCCGCGAACTAGTGGTTCTACAATTGACCATTCGCGAGCAAAATGCGTATCTTACTAACTGACCCTATAAAAGGTCCACAATTGAACAATCGCAAAGATATTCTTGTTTTTTATTTTCCTAACTTCTTTTTCTTATTTTGGATACTTTACTTCTTTTTTCGCCGTTTTCTTTGCAGTTTTTGTTCGGAATCTATTAATTAACATATAATACTATACTAGAATACTGTATAACCATGAATGTATCGTTTTGTTTGCAGAAAAATAGAGAAAATTGCCGGAAGACAAAAGTCGGAAGCAAGAAGCCGAAATTTCGAAAAACTCTGGAAGAAGCATTGATTCTGTACTTTCAAAGAAGCGTCCAGTAAATCCGAATTTTTAATCTAATTTTTACAGTGTGCCAGAAAATCTCAATTTTCCTGTATGTCGACTGGACACTCTGGAAAAATGCAACTGAGAATGAGGAAGGAAAAAGTTCTGGAATAGTGGGTAAATTTGAAAACGAATATCAGAAAAAAAAGTTGATTTCAGACGGAAGTGTTAAGTTTGCGGATTTCGAAAAAAATTTTCAGTTGATAACTTGTGTCAGAGGTATAGTACAAAAAGAATTGGAAGCTTAAAATCTAGATAATTTATTTCAGTTACTTCGAAACAACAATCAACGTCATCTTCTTCTGCTCATCGTCATCGACTGAAGGAAAAATGGACAAAACGAGAAGCTCCGATGCCGTTTCAGCCAGTTCGACAACAGCGGAAGAGAATAATATAACTTTTAATTGATTGTTTTTTCGCTTTTCATTGTTTTTTCTGTGTAATAAACAATTTTTAGCAGCTGCTAGCTTCCAGTTTCGAAACAATATACCGTAAAACCTCTAATAGAACGACACCCGGATCGTCCACTTTGATCCTATATATCTCATTTTCTGTGAAAGATATCAAAAAGTGGCTAACTGGTAAAATGT